CATGAAGTGGAAAGATAAGGAAAGCAATTTGAAATTTCCCAAACCACAAAACTATGCATCTTTCATAATATCCAGCCTGGGTAATCGTGTTGGTTAAGATGCATGGGATGCAATACAGTCTCCAAGGACAACTTTCATCTCAAATAAAATGCAGTATAATCCTGAGCTCAAAATTAATTGTGTTTAAAACAAACAAACAAACAAACAAACAAACAAAAAACAACAACCCCCTCTACCCCCAAAAAACAGAGAGAACTTACAAATCCTTCAAAAGGCTTCTGCCATTCTTAGGATGGTCCTGGCAACCTGTCTGTTAAAAGAAAGTTTGACATTCTGCTTTGCTGTGGGCTAAAGAAACGTTGAAAATGCCCATCTGTTAGGATTTGATGATATCGAGGTATAAAGTAGAGAATCTTAATTAAGGAATTCATTAATTGATTATTTTTCTGTTCTAAAGATTTTTAATGGACACACCTTACCACACTCATTTTAGGACAGAATTTCAGGCTATCCAAGTAATGTAAGATGAGATATATATATTTTCTGATATTCCTGTTATGAATAATGTGATTAATATGAATAATATAAGCCAGAAAATATTATAAAAATTAATATCAATCATACAAATCAAAATATTACATAAAATATAAAATTTTTATACCTGGTTCAAAGTTTTTGAGCAGCTCCTCCACCATTTCATATTTTCCTCATCTGTCTCAGTTTTCAGAAATCAGAAGGCAGAATCTTTTTGTGTTTTCTCTCTCTGCCTCTGTTCCCTCCCCCCCTGTCCAGGATACAGAATGCAGATGTGTGTTATTTTTTACCTGGTGTGTGGTATTGCTTGCTTTCTTTTAAAAAACTGTGTATTTGATGCAACAGCAAAATATTTGCTCTTCCAAAAATATGTTACATAAGGCAGGACTGTGCTTGGCAGTAATGGTTTATCAGTGCCTAGAAAGAGAGCCCAGTGTCAGTGTTCTCTGGAGATAACAATGTATTATTTTCTACCTGCAGTACTGAACTGGTGATACTGTGTGATGAATATGACTCTCCTGGGCCACAAGTACAGAAGTTCTCTGTTTAATTATGACTATGCTTCTTTAATTTAATTACAGCTTTTTTTAATTAAAAAAAACTGATTTGAAATTGGAATGTTTTAAATTATTCAAACTCTTGTTATTTCATATACTAGACTGAGTCCTCTTTTGCTATCTAACCTAAGGTGCATGCTTGTGGGTTTTTTTTTGGTTTTATGTTTTTGTGTGTTTGTTTTTCAATGATTTGGGAAGCTAAAGGCTCCTAGGATCTGGAAATTTACCAGAGCTTGGTGCTAAGGTTTCAGATCCAGATTTTTTTATGTATGTGTGACCAGAGAATCAATCATTCCGTGTTCCGAGTTCTTTCTCTTTAAAACCTGCACACTAATTGCATATCACAGAGAAATCTTTTGTAAACTACAAAAGAACTTTTGTACACTACAGAAGAACAGACCTTTGTGATTTTCTATACTGCCTCAGTAGTAGTAACAATCACTGAGT